AAAAAAAAAAATAAATATTAAAAAAATAAAAATAAAAAAAAAATAAATGATCTATTTAAGTTCAGAGTCTCAGGGATCATCTACTCTACACCCTCGTTCTTTTGGAATTTGGGGGCTGTTCTTCAAGACAACCTACCATGCCACTGGGAAAAGATATTAATATGCTCAGCACCTACAAAAAGGAAAATATGACAGTTAAGTGAGTGCAAACCATACCAGAAAGAAAAACATGGCTGCATCTAGAAATAAAGAAATATTAAGAAGAAATAATTCTTAACCTATGGCATGTGTTTAACTATTGGGCACACAGTTTGAAAAAGAAAACACATAGAAACGTTAGTATACACCTGTAAAGGTTTTGCCTGTGGAAAGATTAGTGTCTCATCTGAGTCAGTTAAATTATAGGTTAAGTGACAAGGAAACGCAGCTACAACAGAAATAGACACCAGTACAGCACAGAATTCATAACTTTACCATGAAATAAGTCTAAAACTGTRTTTTCAACTGTAACACAGATGGTACCAATCCTATCTATCCCACTTGGTAGTTATGAAGATAAGACCAAAAGACTACCAGGCACAGTGGTGTGTACCTAAAATCCCAGTACTCAGGAGGTTGAGGCAGAAGCAATGCTTGAGATAAGGAATTCAAGACCAACCCTGGCAACCCAGCAAAACATCAATTGAAGAACAAAGGATGCAGGTCAAAGCTGTTAACATAAAGCAAAACAAAAATGTAAGATGCTATATTGTGTCATGGTTCAAACTCATAAACTCCAGATGAGCATTTAAAACATCCAATGCTGGGCTGGGATTGTAGCTCAGTGGTAGAGTGCTTGCCTAGCATGTGTGTGGCATTGGGTTTGATACTCAATACTCCATGTAAATAAATAAAGGTATATATTGACAACTAAAAATTTTTTTAAAAAAGATCTAATGCAGAAAGCAACAAGCCCTTTTTAGTTTACTACCTTTAGGAAAATGTTTCAATCAAATAATAGAGGAATCCATTTTGCTCTTTAAAAATGTATCTAATTATACCCAGGGAGGATACTGTTGTCAATTTCAAAGGTATCTGTCCAAATTCTCTCTCTCTCTCTCTCTCTGTCTCTCTCTCTGTCTCTCTCTCTCTCTCTCTAACACAAATAAGATCACATTTTACATACTATTCTACAGCTGGCTTTGTTTGTTTGTTGACTAATAAATCTTAGCCACTTACTTGTTATCCCAGAGACTTGAAAGGCTGAGGCAGGAAGATCACACGTTTGAGGCCAGCTTGAGAGAGACCCTGCCTCAAAATTACAAATGAAAGAGGAACTGAAGATGTGACTCAGTGGTAGATTCTTCTGGGTTCAATCTCCAGTCTCAATAAATACATAAATGAATAAATAAAGCGTAGCATCTTTCCATATCAGTGTGTAAAAATTTATTTTATATTAAACTTTGCACAATTTATTAATTGATTGATTGGTTGATTATACTGGGGATTGAACCCAGGGATATTTAACCACTGAGACACATCCCTTGCTCTTTTTGGTATTTTATTTAGAGACAGGGTCTCATTGAGTTGCTTAGGGCCTCACTAAATTGCTAAGGCTGGCCTTGAACTCATCATCTTCCTGCCTCAACCACCCAAATCACTGAGATCACAGGCAGGTGCCATGTATT